AGAGCTGGAGCTATGGATACAGCAGTAGAAACACACAATGGAGGGAGGTTCTATTCCTGGCTAGGGAATTTGGAGAAGATCATCAGAAGAGTTTCTATTCAACATCATACTGGAAGTCCAAGCCAGAGAAATATGTTTATGGCAGAACTATTTACAGCAGTCAAGATATGGAAGCAACCAAAATGCCCAGAACAGATGAGTAGATCAAGATTTCAGGGTATATATACAAATGGAATACTACTCAGTGATCAAAAAAGATGAACTCATGCCATTTGTAGCAACATGGATGGTACTGAAAGGGGTTATTCTATTTTTTTTAATTTTAATTTTATATATTTTTACATCATTTTTCATTTTTGCACAATGTATGCATTTTCATCTTGGTTATAGTCCCCATACAATTCCCACCCCTCTTATTTTGACCCTAGTTCCTCCCCCCTCCCCTCAGTGTGTCTCTGGTTTATAGTTGCTTATTGATTTTGATTTTTACTTTGTATTGATTAGTCTTTTTCCTAGTCTCTTATTTAGGTTTTCTAAATTCCTGCTATGAGTGAGCCCATCTGATATTTTTCTTTTTCTTTCTGGCTTATTTCGCTGAGCATGATCCTGGAAGGGATTATTCTAAATGAAGTGAACCAGGAGGAGGAAGATAAATAATGGATGGTTTCACTTATATGTGGAATCTAGGGAAAATAAACAAAGGATTAGACGAAGACGACCCGTAAGACTGACCCTCAAAAGCAGACAGTAGACCTGAGACACTCAGAAGAGGAGAAGAAAACAGAGGGGGATCGAGGGGTGTGGCAGAGAACAGAGGGCAAGGGTGGCGGATGGTTAGAGGACTGTGGGCACATTGATGGTAGGAAAACTCTGGTGACTGCATCTGAGGGGAGAAATCCTATGTTGTGAAAAAATAAGCAAATATATTTAAAAACAAACAAACAAAACAAAATATCTGTGTCATCAGTCAGAGAAAGGAGGTGCTGTAATTCATTCATCTGCTTAGGTGTTCTTCGAATCATACATGGCCCCTGGGTATAGGTCAACAAACGTATGCTGACTGATTGGAAAATATTTATTTTTAACTGAAAATAAAGTCCAATCTTAAAAAGAAAGTAATAATGATCTTCAGCGGCTATTGCTTTCTGAGTACATATAATAAGTGGAATTAAATTGTCAAAAAATAGTTAACCTGTTTATCTTACATTAAAATATAAATATACTTGTTGGAAATGGTATCAAGGTTATAGTTTGGTCAAATTTGACACATTTATTGTATTTCTCAAACTCTTGAATAGTAAAGTACACAAAAAGCTTTGCAGAAAAGTGCTATAAGTTTTCTAGTATCTAGACTTTTCTGATGTCATGTTTAGTTAAATCTTAGAAGAAAGCTATAATTGAAATGTCTTCATACAGAGCATGAAGACAAGATAAATAGTCAAAATTATGTGAAAAGAAACATATCCCTTTTTATTGATGGTATGGAAATGAAGCTGTGATATTCTTCTCAGATTGTGAACTGACAGTCTAAAATTACAATGTACTTTGTATATGAGCTGTTACATATTATCTGTCAATAAAAAGTTACCATTATCTTATTTCATATACAACTTTCATAATTCATCTCAACTCAGTTTATGAAAGAGCAAATATATTTGGGCAGTTACTAGAAATCTTTTGTATCTTCCAATAACTAGAGTTTTCATGTTTGGGGGAAATAAACTTCTCTGCATCTCTTTATAGAAATGATTTAGTAAAACTTTTGTTTACCAGAACTTTATGTCCACTGGATGCTTACTTTTGCACTCTACTTTTAGGAGAGGGAAATAAACCAGAAGGTGAATCAAGTATCAGCACTTTCAAAAGAGCAAACACACTGATCTCCAAGGATTGTGATATATGCTTATTTCTCACTCAAACTATATATCCAAGGCAGGCTAGTTTGCCCTCGATTCCATATTTTCATTCCAGGACCAAGGATAAAAGAACTGCCTGCTCTGGACACTGCTGAAAGAGAGAAAAGGGGGAATTGTGAGACGATGCCTTAAGATTTTGCTGGGACTCACCCTTTGTTCTTTCTGGCTTAAGCAAGCCCTGTGGAAAAGACTGGGGTCAGAGGAGTGGAGAAATACTGTCCCCAATTCAAGAGGCAAAGAATATTTTGAATAATACACCTCACCATACACGCTTTGAATATATGATTGAGATGATAACGCTGGCTCCATAGGATCACAATTTAAATTGATCATCCTACCCACTGGAATGGGCTTGTGCAGCCTGGCCCCAAAGCCCTAGTTCAACCCTGTCTTAATCCCTTGCAATCCTAATACCAATTCTTTTATATCCTTCACTTTTTAAAAAGTATCTTCTGTACACTTTATTTTAGACAGATAGCCTTGTGATGTACATTGAGGCAATGTGATATTTTTGCATGTTCCTATGGCAAGAAACCCCACACGTTGCTTTTGTGGGAAGCAGGAATAACATTTATGAAGCGTTTACTTGGCTCAGTGCCTTCCTGGGTGTTTTAATTAATCTACCATAAGAATTTTTGTCAATTGTTAGTGAGCTAGAAAATGAAACGACCACATTCCCTACAGATTCTGAAGCATCTCAACCTACTAAGCTGTTCACTGAAAAAATTTCGAATATTTACTTTCAGGCTTATAAGGATACTATCCTTACTTTGAAGCTTGGAGAACTATTTGTTTCTTTTTTGCACAGAAGACTCAGGAACATTCTGTTTTCAGTGGGAACACAGAGTCTATCCCTTGAAAGAATAATTGTTTGGAGTAGATGGTTGAAGAGGAAGCAAAGATGTAGAATTAGATCAAAGGTTCCTGAGGTACAGTTAGAGGACACACAGAAGAACTGGTAGATATTAAATGATGAATTTATATAAGGAGATTAGATTTTTGCACAGAGATTATCACTTTACTGCTCTGCATGCATTAGGAGTATGGTCCATGCACCCAACCTCCTTCAAAAGGTCTGAGAGGGAGCTAGTTCAATGTGAGGGGGGAAGCAGACCGGCACTAGGCAAGAACTGGTCTAGGTAACTGGACCAAAGGAAATCCAAGTGTTAATCTCCATTAGCAGATTTTTAATGATTCTGCAACTGTATATTGCCTGACATGGTGTAAGGGAAAATGCACAATGCTTGTAGCCATACAGATCTGGAATGAAATCCTGCTTCAGTCATTTCCCAGTTTACTCTATGAACTTAGGTAAATCTCTAGCCTGTTTTTGAATTTCAGTTTTCTATCTAAAAACCAAAATAAACAGCACAGGATTTTTGTGAAGATTATTTATATTATATGCCTATCTCTATTGGTATCTATACCTATATTTATGTATATATATTCAATATCTGCATCTGTGTTTGTGTCTATATGGCTATATCTATCTAGTGTTTAGGAGTTGCTTTACGACTTTTCTCTTCACTTCTTTCTTCCCTCTATGAACCTCTCCCACTAGCAATATCCTGCACCAGAGTAGCACATTTATTACAAGGGATGAGCCTATATTGATGTATCATTATTATCCAAAATCCATAGTTTACATTAAGGTTCCATCTTGGCATTGTATATTTATGGGTTTGAACAACTATATAATGAAGTGTATCCACTATTGTAGTTTATACAAAATAGATTCTTTTCCCTAAAAAAAACGCTTGTCCTCTGCCTATTCAACTTCTCCCCCCACCTCCCCACTTCTCAACCCTTTGCAACTACTGATCTTTCTATTGTCTATATGCAATATAGCAGATTATCTGCAGAAATTTGCTACCCTATATTCCTTCTTATCAAATGGGGCCTCACGTCATCTCAGTAGAGCTGAATCATATGAGTATAGGGAGTTTGGACTTCACTCATGCAACATAGAAAATGAGAACACAGTTTTCTTCTTTGGGAGACAGTGTGTTTCCAGGAGGTGTCCCAGTATTCAGAGTACAAGCCAAACTTCTTAGGTATGAATCCCCAGCTGACCACTTACCAGTCTGTGATTTCTGGCATACAGTTTAAGTTCTGCCTAAGTTGCCTCATCTGTAAATGCAGAAACCAATAGTATCTACCTCAGAGGGTTGTGAAGATAACATAAGAAGTGCTGACAATTAATTAAATAAAATTATTATTAATAATATTGTTAATAATTAATTATTCAATTAATAAAAATCCTTACTGCTTTTAATGCCTTCCATTAATCTGGAACATTGAAGGTGACTTGGAAATCTTTATTGAACAGATGAATAACTCTAAGCTACATGAACATCTTTGTCCCCTGGGAGTGTATTCATGATCACACATAAGTTTTGACTGTTTATTCCTTTACAGAAATTCTCTATTAGGTGGAAGGAGGCAGTTGATTGTGTTCATTCATAGATGATACAAAAGTAATATTGTCACATGATTACACTTAAATAGGAATTAAAACTCACTTTGTGGTAAACGGATTATTTTACTTTCCATTTTAACACCAAATGTGAAAGTGACAGAAAGAAATCAAGTAAAGGAAGGAGCTCGGAGTTCCAGAATCCCCAATGCCTTCTGCATTGTAAAGTCTGGCAGAAAATAGAACGTCAGAAAAAAATATTTTAAAGGGACGAAATATTAAATAATCAAGGCAGCTGGAGTCTTGGTAACAAAAGTCTGCCTTTTCGTCTCAAATCTTCCATTCTCCCTCAAATTCCACCTCAAGTCTTCCCCTGGAAAAGACACTTCAACAAGCAAGAAAAAATTGATGCACTTGAAACCTCACCTTGGACCCACAGTGCCATGGACACCACCTCCTTCGCTTGCTGCTAGAGAGGGCCAGAAGGACAGAGATGCGAGCAATGCGCACCTCTGAGTGGCAGAGCAATAGTGGAGTCCCACTTGGCTGGGGTCCTGCCCATTCGGTGAGTTACCCCCGCCCCCGTCCTGGTGCGCTCCGACGCGCACACTTGGGCATTACCCAGCTAGCGAGCCCGCTGGAGTTGCAACCCGACGTGGCCCTCCGAGATGGGCCCAGGGGACTCAGACGGGCACAACAAAGAGGGAACTTCCCGGGAGCTCCCCCGACGCCCCGGCCGGGGAGGACTTTGGCCCGCGGCCACGCGTCCTGCGCGCTTCCCAGGGAGCGACAGGACCGTGGACGGCCTGGAGGAGGCCCCCGCCGCCAGCCCGCTGCTGGAAGACCTCAGGCGGCGGCTGGTGCGCGCCTTCCTGCGCGCGGTGTCGCGCCGGGGCTCCAGGCGCTCCCGGGACGAGGCGGCGGCGCTGGAGCAGCAGAGCCGCGCGCGCATCGAGAGCGCCCTGGCGGGGCTGCGCGCGGAGCTGGTGAGCGCGCGGGGCTGCGCGCGGGGGCCCGCGCCGTCTCGGGTCTGCTGCGGGGACAAGAGTCGCCAGCGCGGCCCCAGACGGAGACCTGGGAAGCCGGGGGAGTGTTCCCAAGAGGGAGAGGGTGAAGCGTGCGGCGAGGGGGAGCAGGGTGCGGGCGTCCATCTCCCCGGACCTCCAGCTCGCATCCGGACACCTGCTGCTGTCCACACCTCCCTAGCAGAGCCTGGCAGGAAAGGGGTCCCTCGGGACTCGGGGTGCTAGCACCCAGGAGAGGAGCTGAGTCTACTAGTGACACTTGCCAACAGCTCGCTAACTCTTCCCCAGATTGTTCTGTATATTTCTACTTTATAGAAAGTTCTTTACGAGGAACTTGGGGGGTGGGGTGGGGAGTTGGTGGGATGGGCGGTTGGTGGGTAGGGGTTGGAGGGGCGGAGGAGAAAATTTCAACAAAATATGCTCGTATAGGATTGAGGGAATCGATTGCATTAGCAACTTTCTTTCCGCAAGTTTTACTTCTAGCTGTCCCTGTGGTAAGAATTCAGAAAGTAGAAAATAAGATATTTCAGTTTACCTAGGCAGGCTAGGTTTGAATATGTTAAATGTTAAATAGGAGGGGATGTGCTATAATGTTTTAGGTTTCAATAGGACTAGTTTAGATTTTTTTAATCTTATAAAATAACTATTTTAGAATATTTTAGTTTACTAATCTGTAAACTTAGCTGTTTAAATTTAATTTAAATTCAATTTCATTTAAACAAATGTAAACTTAAATGTAAACAAATTCCAGATTAAACAAAAATTGAAAATGACAAAACAAATGAAAGCAATTCAGACTTTAAAATGGAGTTGTCGATGATGTGTGTAATGTAGACTTGATTTGGACGATGCTGCTCTTCTGTATTGAATGCAAAAAGAACAAGTTCAACCATCAGTAAATTATCTGATTTAAGAACTTTAACAGAATATTTATCTTGCTTCTGAATTTAAGATGGGTAAAATCGCCATACATGTAATTTTATCCATGTTAACAATTTAAATTTGACAAGGGGTGAATTATCTTTGCTCCAACCATATTGAAGAAACAAGTGGTTTTTTTCTTGCATTGAGCGGTCTGATAAGAGAGACATCTTAGTAAGGATAGCCAGCTAGTGGGGTGTGCTGTGGGCCAGCAATGAAAACTGGAAGGCGCCATATGACCAGATTCAGCCATCTCTGCACTTCTGATCCTGGATATTATCATTCATCCCTGCATCTCATTCGACTAGTATTTAAATCAAGTGGAGAGATTATATTGACTATGCTCTGAAACACCTTGCAATCTTAGCATTTAACTAGTCGCCCACCACTAGGAGGCATTTCAGGCAAGTAATGCATATAGAGGGGTGAAGGGGGCGGGAGATGAAGAATAAACTTCCAAACAGATGAGGGTACAAATCCCAACATTAGCATTTACAAGCTCTGTTTACCACCCATGACATTGGGGAAGTTCATTGGCAAGTGTGAGTTTCAGTTTACCTACCTGTAAAATGGAGATAGTCAGGGTTGCTGTGAAGATTATGAGATGTTATGTAAAGTGCTTAAACATAGGCATTGTCCACTGGCTATTATTATTATTAGTAGTATTATATTATAATTATTTTGGAGTCTAATTGTACCCCCAAAACTTGACAAACTCATAGCAATCAGAGAATGTCACATATACATAGAGTAAAATACTATATTATGGGACTATAGACCATGGTCAACGTATTGACCAGTCAGTTCACCAATATGTATAACCAATCATGAGAAAGGCAAAAGAACAGGGGTGCTTTAGGTTGACATCATCACCATTGGAAGATGTCATTTCTGATAATGGGCCACATCCATACATGTATCATGTTCTAGGGTGGGATTTGTGTAAAGAACAATGATGGAGAGCTTCAATTAAATTTAGAGACATGTTGCTATATAATATAAGCTGTTATTTGTTGTTTGAATTGGGCTTCCTAGTGGGTTGCATTGATTTCTATGTTTGTGAGTCAATTTCAGGGGATCCATGTACTTAAACTATATACAGAATTTCACATGAGCATAAAATGTACTGTTCCTCAAAGAGGGTTCATAGTTTTCACCAAATTCTCAAAAGGACTCATGATGAAACAAAAGTAAAGAACCACAGGTCTGAGAATTCCTAAATAGGTGTGAATTACACTTATTTTTTTTCTTTGATTGTAAATTTTAACAATTTTAGTCCTTGGTTCTTGACCTAAAAGTTCAAGGTGAATATTAATCAGCTCATCCACTCAGTTGTGTTTTAATGAACATATAGAGTACACACCATGTTGTGTACCCTGGAAGTGCTCCCAAGTTGGGGATACAATCATGAATATGAAACACTCTGCCCTCAGTCATCAGCCTAATGGAGTGTGTGTTGTGAGAAGCACATGTCTAGAATGATGTGGAAGCACAGCTAAGGGACAACAGGGAAGGCTTTTAACAAGGCTTGGCATTTGACTAGATTCAGCAAGAAGGGAGGTGGCAAGGGCTTTCCAGGCCTAGAGGCAGAAGGAGGTGAAGCTCTGCATTGTATGTTTTGGGAGGACAGGCAAGGTGGCACTGGTGTTGGGGGGAGTGCCAGGAAATGAAGCTGGAAAAGTTGGGCAGGGATATAAACTGTCTGGAGAACTAAAATTTCCTAGAGGCAAGGTGCAAGAACTTTTTGTGCTGGCTGTTATATAGTTAGTGTTAAAGTTTGCTAGATGTTCACTTACTGCATCCTTTATTGATTCTTGCTTTCAGAGAAGTGGTTCCAGGGGCTGAAAAATGAAGAAAAATAGGTCAGAGGAAAAGGGAAAGAAAATTTTATCCAATACCTTTGTTTTGCAAATTGGCAGTAGACCCCCAATATTTGGTTTTTTTATCAACAGAGCACCCAGCTTCTACCACGGTTGTTTCTGTTGGAGAGTTAATGACAGGTTATAAACAGAGAGAACAGAATCCTTATGGTCTGCATTAAATACGATTTAATTGAAGAAATTGGCAAAGGCTTGATTATTTGTTTTCAACTTTAATTTAAAGACTAGGTTGGGCTAAGCTTTGTTGGACTGCCTCTTAGATAAACTGCCCTTGAAATCTGTTTTCTAATACCTGAGGACCTTCACATGCTCACCCTGGAGGAGAGTATAAATCAGCATTGCTGTATAACAAATTTCACTCTACAGTGAAAATTGTTAGATTATGTAAGTACACATAACTGTACATGTGCCTCTAAGGTATTGTTAAATATTTGCGCTCAATAGAGAAACCATTTAAAATCTTAAAAACGTGAAATGACAAGTAATCGTGTGAATGGGCCCCGGTCCTAGAAGCTCAGGTGCCTTAGGCAGTTAGCCTGTAGCTGGGAAAGCTCATAAAGATAAATAATTTCAGGTGCCTTAGGCAGTTAGCCTGTAGCTGGGAAAGCTCATAAAGATAAATAATTTCATCCCAGGTCACATATATTGCTTGAAAACAGTCTCCCATGCCCAGGAATTTTTCATCTGGACACCTTTGTGCATCAGTTAGTTTTGTTTTCATTTCAAGGCCATTTCCAAAGCTATTTGTATATCTGGATTTTACCTTGTCATATAGAAATCTGTTTTATGGCCAGGCCAAACAGTGAGAACGGAAGAATAAGATGAGAAATACATCTTTGTTGATGTCTTATTTTCCTTTCCTACAAAGCCCTTATTTTTCCTGTGCAGAGAGCAGTTTCATTTGATCCATATCTCAAACTAATAAAGATCCTTATTTTTTCCCTACTTTTAGCTGGAAATGAGTTTTCAAAATCGCCAGCTGGCCAGAACGTTGCTGGATTTAAACATGAAAATGCAGCAATTGAAAACGGCTTGTGATCTGGAAATTGCCCCAGAATCTCAAAGCTTGGATGATAATGCTGTGAAGCTGGGAAAATAAAACGTGCCCTGGAAGATTTGAACACTAAAAATAACCCAGATGACTCTAAGACAATCCTGACAGTACCATTATGGATGCTTTGCATGAGATTGTAGGGGTGATTTGTAGAGTGAAAACTCAGACGCCATGGGGAATTGACAGAAAACACCTAAGAGGAGAGAAGAGGCTGTTACTGAGTTTTAAAGTTATTCATTGTTTTGGCTGGGAAATTGAAGCTAGAAAAAATAGTGAAAACTGCCTTCATGCCAGTTTCCTGCATTCTATCTTGTACTACCTTAATTTGCCGGCATTACCTGAACTTTCAGAATCTGTGCTGTCTTACTTGATTATTCTTGGTTTGCCCCTTTAGCTGTTTAGAAGCAGTACCAGGGAAATGCCAGCTATACCTTTTAAGTCGAGTCTGCCATTAGGTAAGCGTGCGCCATCTCTCTGAGAATATTCCCACCGATCAAGGCAGACCATCAGGCTGTCTCAGGAATTTTTGAAGAACTCAGAGGTGGATGAGCGTGCTCTGATGGTGGAAGCTGTGGACACGATGCGCCCCTATTGCTGCTGGAATTAGCACAAGCTCTGGTCAAGAAGGTGGAAATTGAACTCAGTATAAAAGGGGAAGGAGAGAGCTGATCTTTCTCTCCCCGGGTAGCTCTATAAAACTGCAGGCCTTGGGCCTCCCCGGTGGCACAGTGGGTTGAGCACAGCACTCTGAAGCTGTCCTTAGCCTCTGCAGCGCAGGTTCGATCAATTCCTGTGGCCCAGCAGACCTCTCCTGTCCTGCCCACTGCTCCCCTCAAGCAGTGTTTTCAGTCGTCTGCCTACTCTCCCTGCTCTGTCTCTGCTGAATCCTCTCACCCTCCCGCGCCTCTGGCCTGTACCCCAGTTCTATTAAAAATAAAATATATCTTTAAAAACAAATAAACTGCAGGCCTTACTTCATTTAGATATGAGAAAATAGTCAAGTATCCTTGTGATAAAATCTCTTTTTGCCTAAATCAGTTGAGTTGGACTTTTATGACTTGTAGCTAAAAGAGTCCTAAGGGATGCAATTCCTTAAGTTTTTAGGAGCTAGGATGGTACTTGCCGAATCAGAATATCCCTGTCTACCCTAAATAAGTTGGCTTTTTAATGCAAAAAATAAAGTTAATTAAAAAATTGCAGATGTAAACAGCCTTCATAATGGTCGTTATCTGTAAAAATAAAAAGGAATTGATACAATGTATGTAATTTTGGTATTTAATTGACAATAAAAATTAGCTCTTGAACACAAAGGAGAACATTATGCTTTCATGGCCTTCCTCTTAAAAATATATACAAGTTTTCTTTTTTTTGGTGAGGGTTTGAGAATTATCTGGACCAAGTTTAGTTTGTGCTTAACATTTTAACTTTTATATTCCCCATACAATTGCAACTTGAATCACAGTATCTTTCAGGAGCGACAGATGCAAAACAGAATGAGAAGCTCTTTGTTTCTAAAGTATCTTATTTTTGGAAGCCCTAATCCGTGGTGTTGGCCTGTGATATTAGATGTCCACAGGGAGAGACAACAAGAACTCGAGACAGGATCGCTGTCCTTAAATGTTTTTGCTTTGTTCCTCTCAGACAGTGAATTCTCTCTCACATGACATCTGTCACGTTTTGTTTTTTAAGTAGCAGAAGTTGGGTTGTTTTCACTTTTTTTTTCTTTGCAATAGTATTCAGCTGTTATTTGCTCCCTGGATTCTGATCCCCTCGGCTGTGGCACATGGGAGGACAGGAGGAAGACTTTTCTGAGGGAGGTGACGTGTCCTGTCATGGCTGTCTTTCTTGTGCTTTCCGGAGTGCTCAAATAACCTAGAGCCACAGTGTGACATTTTAAAGAAAGGTGAGGTGGAGGGGACTGAACCACTGCCAGCTGGAGGGGAAAATGAGAAAATAACTGTAGCTGAAATGATGCGACAGGGAAGCTTTTAGTGGATATGTCAAAGAGGTAAGATGTTCAGAGCAATAGTGGATAGCGAGGCGAAAAGAAACTGAAAAACAAAACAAAAATGGTTTACTGAGGAGAATAAAGTGTTAAGGTTTTTCTAATAGCTAAACTCAGCCTTAATTAAAGAGGAATAAAACTATGGTAGCAGAAAATGGGTTTTCACTATATGGCGCTTGTTTAGCACCTACTGGTGAAGAGGTGCCAAAGGAATGATGACAATTAGGAACATTTCACAGGTTGTTAGGCATTAAATCCCTCTACAGGTGGCCTAGACGAGTCCATGTTGGCTTGCCTTGCCAAATACTTCTGCTGTAACAGGTACTTCTGGAGGTCCCAGCCTGGGAACAGATCAGAGTCGGATGTAACTAAAAGCACGATGGCTGATTCTGAAACCAGTGTAATTACAAGAATCCCATCTGCCCTGGTCCCTTCCCAGGCAGGGTGCATGGCCCTGGACTGGCCATCAGCTTGTTTTATTTACTGCTGCAGCCACTGCTGGGGTCCCTGCAGGCCGTGGGGCTGGCACACAGCCTCCCAGTGCCAGCTGCTTTCACTCTTCGATGTTTTCATTGTTGCTGCTGCTACCACTGCCAAAACCTCCTGCCTCCTTGAGCATGTTATTAACCAGGGTGACGGGGGAATTAGAAATATCGTTAGGTATAGGGTTAACCTAAGCCACTGCTGCCACCTCTGAATCTAGCCTCTTACTTTACCTGGACCTGCTCCATGGGTTGGAAGGCTCCATCTCTTCCCGGGGAGCAGCAATGCTACCATCTTCCTGTGCTGGGAGCAGCGCAGGAGGGAGCCATGGAATGTGTGATGATAACAACACTAGCAGGATGCCTTGTCAGGCGTTGTGCTGAGAACACCTGTGGATGAGCTTAGTTAAACCTCACACTGGCGCCTTGGTATAGAACATGCTTTTGGGGCTACTGACTTTGATCTTTAGGCCTGGATGTGCCACAGAGCAGCTACACGACCTAAAGCAAACTCCTTTAAATTATGTAGGTTTTGTCTAAAGAAGCTAATGGAAATGGCACCACCCGTCTTATTTATTTATTTATTTATTTTTTAAAAAGATTTATTTATTTATTTATACAAGCACTGGGTACAGTCAGAAGCACGGGAGGGTGAGAGAATTCACCAGAGCCAGAGCGGGGAGCAGAGCAGGCAGAAGGACCGAAGGACACTGCTGAGGGGAGCAGCGGGCGGCAGGAAAGGGACCTGTGCCCCATGTGGGACCCTCCTCCGGTGGCCGGGGAGCAGCCGGGGATTGAACTGGCGCTGCAGAGGCTGCGGGCAGCTTTGCAACCCAGCGCTCAACCGCTGGTGCCACCGGGGAGGCCCCCACCCGTCTTATTTAAATCTGGAGGAGCCCACATCGAGTCTCCCACAGTTTGGGAGACTGAATGACAAAGGCTCTTCTACTTCTGGTGTGTTTCCTTCAGTGCTTCAGTTCTGTGTCTTCTTACTCCCTTTGGGACTCATATCTTCCCTGAGCCTCTTTCTTGGTCGCAAGTCTCTGTCTTGCAAATGACCTGCTGCTTTCTCTCTATTATGATATTGACAGTGAGTCTCCCCTATGGAGTGATAAATTGATTCACCAAACTTGGGAACTAGGAAATGAGCAGTAACTGCTCCTTACTCCCTGCTGAATCTGCCTGGCTCACAGCGACATGTGCATTTAAAACTTATTTGCCCCAATAACACTGTGAGGTGGGGGTTGTTGCTTTTCTCACTTTATACTGCAGGAGGATGGGTGCTGGAGAGGCCATCCCATTTGTCATAGGTCACTCATAGCTAGCTAGTGAAGCTGGCACGATTTGTGAGCAGTATTGGAGGTGGTCTGGTTGTTGAGACCTTCCCCAAGTAATGGGGAGAACATGCACAAGTGTATAAATTCAACTTTATTACTTAACGGTAGCAGAAGCATGTATGACGTGCTTGGGATGATTTTGGTGACGGTGAGACATAGAAGGTCTCAGTGAGGGCACCCCTCCAAGCTATTTGCGTCTACTTGGATAAAAGCTCTCATTTTGTCTCTCACATTCTACATAAACTAGTTGGATCTTGGACAAATTACTCCACCCTATTTGGGCCTCATTTTTCTCATTTGAAAATAACAAGGATGAGAGAAAGTGGCCTGCCAAACATTCCTCTCTATTTAGAAACCTTGTTCAATTCTAGTCCTGCCTGCTTGGAACAGGACTCTTCAATCACCCCTGATTTGCCTGGACTTTCTGAGCTGGACTACTGACTGGGGGTCACTGGCCCCTGGCCAGGAAGTGGCCTCTTGGGGTCCCAGCCCTCGCCCCGATCACTGCCCCAGCTTCTGCAGCCTTGATGATGACAGGGAGCAATTCTTGTCACTCCTGGATGCCTGTCTGCTCTTCTTGCCCATGCCGTGACTGCAGCCAGGGAAAATGTCACATTTGCACTTCAGAGGGACATGAGCATTGCTCAGACCTTTAATGTGCTCCACTTTAGAGGCCGCCTGCTGGAAGGCCCGCTGGTTCAGGGCGCTGTGCAGTGAAGAGGCAGCCCTTGGAGTTGGCGACGGGAGTGAGACTCCTGCTTATTTCACCTCCTCTCTATATGCCTTTGAGTCTCTGGAGTTTGCTTTGCTTCCCTGTAAAATGATACGAATCACATCTCCTGGGTGGACTCATCCTTGTGAAATGCTTAGAACACTCCCCAGCAGTGTTTGCTATTGTAACTGCCCAACACATTTAGCTCATCCTTCCTGCCTACTGGACTGCCCACCCCGAATCCAAGATCAAGACTGACAATGAGGGCCTCCCTGGTGGCGTAAGGGGTTAAGACGCAACCTATGAAGCTGTCTGCAGCCACTGCAGCACGAGTTTGATCCCCCAGCGAGGGAGCAACCCACATGGCACAGCAGACCTCTCCTGTCTTGCCCGCTGCTCCCCTCAGCAGTGTATTTCAGTCAGTCTACCTGTTCTGTTCCCCACTCTGTCTCTGGTGAATCCCTCACCCCACCCCCACCTCTGGCTTATACCCCGGCTCTTGTATGCATAAATAAATAAATCTTTAAAAAAAAAAAGAGAGACTGACAATGAGTTCACTTTCCCAGCTCCTCTTGTTCAGGATGGCTATGGAATCCAATTCTTAATCCAAAGTCCCATTGAGTAGTAAGGGTGAACTTTGCTGAGGGGTGAGAGTGGTGGATTCTGAGAAATATTGTCTTTCCTTGCAAAAGGAGAGAGAGGAAGCAAGCTTTTTCTCTCTAACCTCTTCCTTTCTTGTTTAAGAACATTATCCCATGAGGTTGTCAATCTTGTAGCCACCCCGTGACCAAAGTGGGAGATTATTAGATACTCTGAGGCTGGGAAGACAGGCAGATAAAGCAGTCTCTTTATTGGCAACATGGAACAGCTGAGCCAGCCCACTTCTGGCTAGTCTTTATAGGTGAGGTGATAAATTTAATCCAATTGTTTAAGCCACTTTTCAGGGGATACTCAGTTCTTTGCACCTGAAGCACCCTAACTGACACACTTAAATCCCAACAAACTTCTGGGATAAAGGTTCACGATGGTGGATGGTCTGGGGTCAACTAGGGTCAGAAACCCTGGGCAGAGGACTCCAGGGGCACCACTGGGTTATTTCGATGTTTCACATGAGCTTTTTGTGTGGACACATCTTGTGGACAGGAGATCAATGAAAGCACATTGGAGGAAGACTAATCTGAGAGGACCCCCTCTCAAACCCTGTGGAGACTCTGGAATTCCACAGAAAATATTCTGACTGGTGGAAACATTGCTCATACTCTATTAAGGACCTCCAAATGGCAGTGGAACCCACTGATTCTGTCAGAGAACCGTTTAATTTTGCAGCAACCGGAAGAAGAGGGGATGCCGGGATTTCCTATTGTCCTAGGAGTGAACAGGCTTCAGAACACAGTGAACTGATTATCAGCTCTTAGGTTTTTATGTGAGGGAATTTAGTAAACTGCCAAAAAACAGCCTGAAATAGAGTTTCTACAAATTTGCTTTTAAATTGGTTTTGAGGTTTCAATTGTTTTCTACAGGATCCCACTAGGGATGGTCATGACAAGAAATAGCTCAGGATTTCAAAGTGGGATTATCAGATTGCTGAGAGCATGGCCCAGGGCCTCCGGGAGTTACCGGCATTTGTATTGGCTTTATGGGTTACAGTTTACCCCAAAATTACAGTTTGTTTATGCTGTGCAATTTACCAAGGGCTGTTACAAACCATGTAGTTCATTCAATCCACAATAGCCCTCTGAGGAAGAGGCTGCCTGAGGGGGGTTCAAATTCGAGGGACATCAAGAAAGCTTGTCTATTTGAATTTT